GCACTGACTGCTCTTGCAGAGGACCCAGGTTCGATTCCCAGCACCTACATGGTGGCTACAAACTGTCCTTAATGCCAGTTCCAGGGAACTCCAACGCCATCTTCTGACCTCCATGGCATTCCATAACATGGGTGCACTCACATACATGCAGGCAATACACTCATACACATAAAAAATAAAATATTTAAAAAAGAGTTCATTAAATTGGGCAGGGGGCAATGGGGGGCGGTAATTGGGTAGAGAGGAGGAGATCTAAATGCTATCAAATTATATTATATGAAAATCACAGAAATTAAATAAAAAGGCAAAAAAGTAATTTTGGTATGTTGTTAAATCTGTTAATGCTAATATAGTTATTAGAACTAGTCTTTTTAAAAGCTTGCTTATTTTTACTTTATGTGTATAAGTACTTTGCTTATCCTTGGAGGCTAGAAGAGGGTATCAAATCCCTTGGAACTGGAGTTACAGATGGTTGTGAGCCACCATGTGTATGTCAGTCCTAACCCAGGTTCTCAGTATGTTCCTGAAACCACTGAGCCATCTCTCCAGCCCCTAGTATTTTTTTTTCAAGAATGTTTCCTTTTTAAAAAGCAGAGCCCATATATCTGTTTTTAATTTTCTGTTTGTTTGTTTTTTTGATACAGTGTCTCACTGTGTAGCCTAAGTAACCTGGGACTTGATATGTAGATCAGGCTGGCCTTGAACTAACAAGGGATTCACCTACTTCCACTTCCTGGGTGTGTGCCACTTGCCTGGCTGCCCTTAATATTTCAAAAAGATCATAGTGAGTTAGAAAATTTTTTTCATTTGTTTCCTTTGAAGTGTTTCTGCTCTTTTCAGTTTTCATAGCTGGAAACATTTTCTTAAAAATTGACACCTAGTCATACTTTTTAATATGCTTATTTGGTTTAGAAGCATTGACTGAATAGGTTAAATCAACATGTGGCTTAAATTATTCTGTGGGAATGATCTTCAGTAGCCTTTAATTTTATAAAAGTAATAACATTTTCCCTTATTCTGTTTCCTCGGTAGTAGAAATGTTGATTACTAAAGCAATTATCTCATCTACATAGTTTTTCTTTTTGAGACAGGGTCTCAGGTAGTCTAGGCTGGTCTTGAACTTGATATTTAGCCTAAGATAACATTGAACTCCTGATCCTTTTGCCTTGGTCTCCCAAGTGCTGGGATGACAGATGTGCCCCACCATGCCTGGCCTTAATGAATGCATTTCATAGACAGCTTATAGCTTTGAATTCTAAATTTGGCTCAGCACCAACTAGGCTTGGAATTTTGTTCAGTTTACTTTTGCCTTAACAGTAGTTTGGTCTTTTTAATGTAAGAATCTTATGAGTCTTTTAATTTCTTATGTTCTATAAAAATATAATAAAAGTATGCTATCATCTAAGTAAGCTGTCAGAATTCTCTCTGGAAGAATTTTGCCCTAATGTTTGCTTCTGTTCTCAGCCTTTAGAGAAAGCTATTGGAATGGTAGAGGTTTTTTGTTTTTTTTTTTTTTCTTTTGATAGATCTTATGACTCAGTCAAAACACAGCCCAAGAAATACGCCAAATCCAGGTATGACTTTGTGGCAAGGAACAGCAGCGAGCTCTCAGTACTGAAGGATGATGTTCTAGAGGTAATTGATTTCTAGTTCTTATTCTCCTAAGAAAGTGAATTTGTTGTGTGTGTTTCTTTTTTTGTGATATGTATCTAAACATTTTTGAAGGAAATGCTAAGGTCAAGAAATTGTCTTTTGGGTTGGTGAGATAACTCAGTGGTTAAGAGCACTGGCTGCTCTTTCAGAGGATCTGGGTTTGTTCCTAACGCCCACATGTTGGCTAACAATGGTCTGGAACTCCAGTTCCAGGGGATCCAACACCCTCTTTTGGCTTCAGTGGGCATTGCATACATGTGATGCATTTACATACATCCAGGCAGAATATTCATACACAGAAAATAAAAAAATAAGCCAGGTGTGGTGGTACACATCTTTGATCCCAGCACTTGGGAGGCACAGGCAGTTGGATCAGTGGCTCTCTGTGAGATTGAGGCCAGCCTGGTCTACATAGCAAATTCCAGGCCAACTGGGGCTACAGGGGACCCTTTCTCAAAAAAAAATTTCCTAACCAACTAGCTAGCTAACTAACTAGCTAAATAAATATAAATACAAATAAATAAAATAGTCTTTATGACTTTTTATATTCAGTGCAGTCTAGATAGCTATATAGATTTAGAACTGATAACTACTTGACTAGATTTTTCTGACCCCATAATAGAATTGAGCATCAAATAGGAGATATACAGAACACAGAGGATGAAAGAAACGGATTTCTTGGCCTGTGTTATTGTTTTCCTGTCCTCTGAGGTATTCATTTTGGAACCAATCTCATTATCAGTTTAGTAGAGATGACCCCCAATATTGTAATCAAAGGAAACATTTCCTTCTTTCTCTTTTAAAATCCTCTGCACAAATGTAGCCAGCACTCCACTTGGTAACCATATTGAGGATAGTCTTTCTTAGCTTATATCTGAGAGTTCATTTTCTCAAATATATAAGATGAATTATCACAATACATTTTGTTAAAATATTTTTAATACTTTCCCTCTCTATTCAACAAATGCAAATAGTAGAAATTTCTAAGATGGTCATCTTAGTGCTCTGTAAGTACCTCAAATAACACAGGTACATTCTTGAATATAATGTAGATTTGGGTTAGATTTGTCATAGCAATGTGGTACCTATTCCACAGGAATAGTAATAATTCTAATTCTTAGTGTAATCCCGGAGCATTCAATCATCTATATGTTGCTACTCCATTCACTTGATTTTTTTCTTGGCTAAAGTTGATGAATAAAAAATTGAACTTTCTCCAAGAACTGGTGTTCTCATAGAAATCTCACTCTTGTCTCTTGCATGATGACAGATACTTGATGACAGGAAGCAGTGGTGGAAAGTTCGGAATGCAAGCGGAGACTCCGGGTTTGTGCCAAATAACATTCTGGACATCGTGAGGCCCCAAGAACCTGGATTGGGGCGTGCTGACCCCCCATACACACATACCATACAGGTAATTGTGAGTCTAGGAAACACTAAGTACGTGCAGATTTCCACGGACAGAATTGAAATGCCTTTTGTGTGATTAATAATCACTTTGAGATTAAATTGGTTTTACATTTTCAAGAGAAAGAGGATAGTAAAGAGTTACATGTCTTCTGATTTATTTCCCAAGGAGTTCTTTCAAATGGTTAGCAATAAGATATTGTTTTCCTGAATGCTTTTTACCTCAACCTGTAATATTTCTGACATGTGTAAAGAGATTCTTTCTTTTGCCCATAGACTTGGCACTGAGACCAGCTAGAGGGTCCAGGTTTTTCTCCGTCAGCCTTTACCTTCAGAGTGTTTTAAATTTTCTATCACTGGGCTGCATTGAAGTTACATTCATCCAGCCTTAGAGTAACACATGGATTCATTTTGTTTATAACATATCAATATCAATAATATGTGAATTCAGATGGATTACAACATGTTTTCCTTTCTTGATTTTAAGGTTAAAATATCTATGAAACAGATTAGACAGGTCAGCTGTTGCCTCTTGATCAATGACAGATTCTTAAGGCCCACACCAGTTTCAGAATTTTAGTGATCTGCCCACTTTATTCGCCATGACACCTGTACTCGAGACTGGTTCTCTGGAGTGAGGTCTGCCAACAGAGTGAGAACTGGTAGACTTTCCCACGGACAGCCTCTGAACCAAGGCGGCTCCTTTTTCATCTGTGGAACATGGTTTTAATGCTTAATCTTGAGAAAAACATCACTCCTGGCTCCATTATTATCATGACTTTACTGTTATCACTGATTCGTGTGGCAGCTGCTTAGACTACACTAAGGTGAAGCACCTCAATTTTTGCCAGGTCCAGGCTTGATGAATAGCCCTTGTCTGGGCCTTGAATTGGGGTCGTAATCCTGGTTGCCACACTGAGTTTTCTTAGCACTTAAAGGCTTCTTGTGACACTTAAATCTAGAGTAGATCTATACCCTTGTCCAGCAGGACTTCTTAGAATCCATAAGTCAAGCAAGGATTTTAGATAAAGAATTCTCGGGCTGGAGTGATGGCTCAGAGTAGTTAAAAACACTTGCTGCTTTTGCAGAGGACTTGGGTTTGGCTCCCAGCACCCACATGGAAACTCACAACTCACTGTATCTCTAGTTCCATGGGACCTGATGGCCTCCATGGACTCCAGGCACATACCTAGTGCACATCCATACATGAAAGCAATCACTCATACACATAAAAATGAAAATAAATAAATCTTAATAAAAATAAAGAATTCTTGTGGCTGGTCATGGAGATACACGCCCATCATCCCAGCATTTGGTAGGTAGACACAGGAGAATCAGGAGTTCAGTGTTATTTAGGGTTAACATAGTAAGTTCAAGGCCGGTCTGCTATGTGAGACCCTGTCTTAAACAGAAGAAGAAAAAGGATCATGAGACGAAAGGTTGGTGTTTCTGTGTCTCCGTGACCTAAAGGGATGGCGGTAGGAATTCTGTTTGCTGTGCTGTTTTGCTGACCAGATGTGACGTTCACATATACTTTTACCAATTGTCTGTCATCAGCTGTTGATGCCAAAGAAGGAGTTTGAGTTGTTCAAGGTACGGTCTGCTCTGTTTCCTCTGGATTTTTGCAGTGGATTTTCTTACTTAATTTTCAGTATCTTTTCTTTTTCTAACTTACCACTTCTCTGAGCTTGAAATCTGGTCACCTGGCATAACACATAACTTCTCTTTGAGTGATGAGTACCAGGGTTTTGTTTGCTTTCTTCAAAGACTTTTGATCTTGTCCTTAAATAGTGACAAAATACATGCTTGAAATGTGTGCCTGACACACTGAGGGTGTTTATCCTTTGAGATGTATGGGTACTAAAAAATTTGTACTCATGAGAAAGCATAGCAAGCGCTATTTACAAAGGATGTCCCGTGGTGCCCTGGGTGAACAGAATCCAAGAGTTTATATTTTAGGTGTTAAAAATAATTACTCAAATTGAATTTTGTATGTGTGAATGGTTGTGGGGATTAGGGAAACTCCAAAAGTGACTTATACTTGCAAATAACATGCATTCTAAGTATCTTTCCAAACTTGGGATATCCTAAAAACCAGTCTACCATCCACTGCCTTTTCCTTCGTGTGTGATTACTGGCTTGAGCCATGAGTTGACTTTCTGTTTAAAGCTCAACTCTGTCTAAAATGGGCCGGCATGATGGGTATATACCACAGGCAAAGAGAGTGCTCGGGGAAACACACACCCTGTTCTTCCCGACTCCACCCTCTCACAGAACCTCATCATATATTTTTGTCAACCTTGGTACAACCAAGAACTGTTTTTTAAGTGTTCACAAGTTTCAGGAGTTTGTTTTGCTACTTTGGGTAAATAGAGACTTGAAGTCCTTGTGAGGATAGCATATTTTGGCTATTTCCTTTCAAATTTTCCACACTGTCTCACTGGTTTCCAATATTTTTGTATGTGAGTATGAATGCAGGATGTGTTAGGAGTATGTAAAAGCCTGTTCATTCTCCTCCTCCTCCTCCTCCTCCTCCTCCTCCTCCTCTTCTCTCCCTCCCTTCCCCTCTCTTCCCCCCTCTGTCTGTCTCCTCTCTGTCTCTGTTTCTGTCTCTCTCTATATCTCTCTGTGTTTGTCTCCTCTCTGTCTTTGTGTCTTTCCCTCTCTCTCACTCTCTGTCTCCTCTGTGCATCTGTCTATGTCTCTCTGTATCTCTGTGTCTCTCTGTCTATGCCTCTGTCTCTGTCTCTCTGTCTTCCTGTTTCTATCTCTATCTCTGTCTCTGTGTAGATTTTAGGGTGAGGGTCTACTTTGAGAGGCATGGAAAACACTCTGCCCATTTAACACCTGAAAACTCTGGACCAAGGTCAATAAAAACATCCAGATCTTGTAAAATCACAACATGTAACTGTCTTGTGGCACCAGTGTCACTCTGAAGGGATTCCTATCCTTAACCAACTCGTAATATTTCTCCAAAGGATAGAGTAAGATGGAAATGAAAACATCTTCAGAAAAATATTCCAGTCATTCATATATCCTATGATACTATCACTGTTACCTGTGTCTAAAAACACCCGAGGAAATCACCCCTCCCCACCCAGCTCTCTTCAGAATGACTAGGCAGGTACATCACATTTATGCAGAGTCCAGTGATGCTCAGACTCTCACAATGTAGAACACCAGTGACTTGCAGTTCATGTTACCCGCCTTGTCACTGGTTCATTCCCGTGCATTTCTTGGATGCCAGTATCTTGACATTGTTGTGAAGAGTGATGGGAAGCCCAGCGCTCAGCTGTTCCTCTGCAGCAGCGTGCTGCACGCCTGTCCCCAGGTCACCAGCAGTGGCTTTACCCTTGCCCTGGTGCGGCTATGTTAAAGAGCTGTGACCCTCCTGCCCCTCCTCAGATACACTTCACATACTTTCCTGGTTCCATCCATTGTTACTAAAATTTTAAACTAAAGCTGGATGTGGTAGGTAATTCATACCTGTCATCCCAGTGTTTGGGAGACTGGAGTAGGAGGATTTCTAGAGTTCGAGGCCAGTCTGTGCTTCCAAGTGAGTTCTGGGCCAGCCTGGGCTGCAGCGTTTTGATTCCTGTGCTGTATCAAGGCAGCTACTGATCCATTACAGAACCAGCTTCCCCATGATGAATATCAGTGACATGGCACTCTGAAGCACCATCTGTTGTACACTCATCACCTACGGACTCCCTGGAGTCCCCCAACAACCCGATGAAGTGGCCCCATGTTGCATAGTGAACTTAGGCACAGGAGAAGTAAGAGTCCCCGAGTTACGCAGCAGCATGAAGCCAGGACTGGGACCCAGCCCCATGGATCCAGAGCCAGTGCTCTGACTTACTTGACTATTCCAGGAATAGGGTTCTTGGTGAAAGGTTGCAATCTCTTTCTGTGTAAACGTAGGTTTTGTTCTATGACTACTTAACGAGGTATGTTCTCAGAACAGCCCTGCTTTGCATTCAATGCATCTCAATGCATTTTGCCTTGAGGACAGTCAATCGGACCAGTCGTACTTCTTAAAATGAACTTTTTGCCTTATGTGTCCATTTTTAAAATTTTATCTGCTTTATTTTTTAACAATTTAGAAAAATTGCACCTGTGACATTGATTGACTTACAAGGTGGGCACTTTGTGGATGGTATAAACTGTTTCTGTGCAGCTCTTCAAACTCAACAAATGCTTTAAAAAAGGACACAGGTTTCTCTTCTGTTTGTCTCCTGTGTGCGGTGCTGGTCTGGATGAACGGGTGTAGTTCCTGGTGAAACCTGGGCAGCACTGGCCTCTGTTCACACCCTGTCAGGGATTCTGTACTGATGGCAGAGGTGCTCGTACTTGGTGCCAGTGGTGAATAGGTGTTGAATTGTCACCTGACATCCCCAAGAGTCCGGGCTATTTAATAATCTTCACATTCTCGGTGATTCTTAACAGCTCTCTAATGGCAGATTCTCACCTAATGTGTTTCCCCCATGGCTTCAGCTGCATTTTCAAAGTAAAAGAGGGAGAGGAGTGATAGAATTTACAAAGGTGTGTGTGTGTGTGTGTGTGTGTGTGTGTGGTGAATGAAACCACAGGGAAGAGAAATAAATGCTTTTAAAAGATTATGGGAACATGGTATGGCTTTTGATTAAAATGTTATAGAGCAGCACAGGGCTTTGTAACATCTTTTCTGAGCAACAGATGGACCCCAGGGTGCTTTCTCTTCATCCAGAATCTCCTTGCCACATAATGTTTCTTGATATTTCTTTTGACTTGATTCCCAGGCTTCTAGCACATGACTGTCTCCTGGAATGACCCTTTCCCACAGGGATTCTTGTGCTCTATATGAGAATCAGAAATTGCTTCCTTGCCTGGTCTTTTTTTAATACATCTCACAGCCCTGCAAAGGAAGTCTTTTATGTATTATTAAATACTAAGTGCACATGTTTATTTATTTTTTATTTTTTATTTTTTTGAGACAGGGTCTCCCTGTAGCCCCAGCTGTCCTGGAAC